TTGTGGCATTAGCTTATTATGTCATTTTACCTAAACAGTTGTGGCATTAGCTTATTATGTCATTTTACCTAAACAGTTGTGACATTAGATCATCATGTCCTGTTACCTAAACAGTGTGACATTAGCTCACCCTGTCATGTTACCTAAACAGTTGGCACATTAGTTCATCGTGTACTGTTACTTAAACAGTTGTGGAATTAGTTCGCCATGTCATCTTACCTAAACAGTTGTTGCATTAGCTCACAATGTCATGTAACCTAAACAGTTGTGGCATTAGCTCATTATGTTTTGTTATCTAAACAGTTGTGGCATTAGCTCATCATGTCCTGTAACCTAAACAGTTGTGGCATTAGCTCATTATGTTTTGTTACCTAAACAGTTGTGGCATTAGCTCATTATGTTTTGTTACCTAAACAGTTGTGGCATTAGCTCATCATGTCCTGTAACCTAAACAGTTGTGGCATTAGCTCACCATGTCATCTTACCTAAACAGTTGTGGCATTAGCTCATTATGTTTTGTTACCTAAACAGTTGTGGCATTAGCTCATTATGTTTTGTTACCTAAACAGTTGTGGCATTAGCTCATTATGTTTTGTTACCTAAACAGTTGTGGCATTAGCTCATCATGTCCTGTAACCTAAACAGTTGTGGCATTAGCTCACCATGTCTGTTACCTAAACAGTTGAGGCATTAGCTCACCATGTCTGTTACCTAAACAGTTGAGGCATTAGCTCACCATGTCTGTTACCTAAACAGTTGAGGCATTAGCTCACCATGTCTGTTACCTAAACAGTTGAGGCATTAGCTCACCATGTCTGTTACCTAAACAGTTGAGGCATTAGCTCACCATGTCTGTTACCTAAACAGTTGAGGCATTAGTTCACCCTGTCAGGTTACCTAGACAGTTGTGGCATTAGCTCACTGAGTCTTGTTACCTAAACAGTTGTGACATTAGTTGATCATATACTGTTACCTAAACTGTTGTGACATTAGTTGATCATATACTGTTACCTAAACTGTTGTGACATTAGTTGATCATATACTGTTACCTAAACAGCTGTGGCATTAGCTCACCATGTGATGTCCTGGTGGGGGACAACAATCAAGTAAGCAACACAGTAAGGGCTACTATTAAATACAGAACATTATGTTTATATATATATTTGACAGGAATACTGGACTTCTCAGCCACAGTAACCGCCGGCTGATACTGAGAAGACCACATTTCCAAACACGTGTTTATTTTCCCCCCTTGCCGCAGTCCATCAGACGGTCCACTTCTGTTGGCGATAGTCGGACTCCAAACAATCCATCGTTTGTCGCAACTCTTATCTATTATGTATGTATTCATGTATGATTAAGGACGTTTGGAATACCTGCCTAGCCTAGGTGACAGATGGGCTTTTTCATCGTCAGCCTGTGGTACCGCTTGAATTTCGCTGAGTTTATTGGTTTTGTTCAGGTTTTAATTTCCCCCTGTGTGTTCTGCGGCCCGTTCTGTAGAAAGGTTATCTCTTCCCCCTAACAAACATGTCCCAACAGACAATAAATACATTGTGTGCTGAAATCGGATGTGTTGCGCCAAAAGGTACATCTACTGCAGCCCAGTTGTAAACAAAAACACAATGTGCCTACTATTTTCAAAGACTGATCATCATCGGCTTCAGCATCATCATTAACAAAATATGTCAAACATATTTTAAAACAGACAGTCTGGCCCTGTCTGCCAGTTCTCTTTTTGTTTGTACCCATTTCTTGGTATAATCTTCCTCATTTTTTTAGGGAGGGGGGGGGGGAGGGAAGAAGATACTTGTTTGTTTGTTCTTTATTTCATCTCCTGCATTAGTTCTGTACAAGGGGAGTTTTGTCTAGGTAGTGAAGCCCTTTGTCCGGCACTCTGAAGCTCTTGTCTTTTTCCTTGACTGGGTGTTGGGTTAAAGACGTCTCTGCAGATCATTATTGGAGCTACTGAGTTCAGACTTCGTGGATTACACACAGCAGGCAGTCAGACGTTCTTGAAAGAATGAGAGAGTCATAAAGGATAATATCCGGTGTAGTAAATTCGATCTTAAGACCTAAGCTTTGATAACGATCAGGTCGACAGATTTTACACGGATTCTAGTTAACCATTCACTCTGACCGTTTGAAGTGAGTAGTTATCTTTATTCAAGGTGTACACAAAACATCGACCACAGTGACTTATCCTTTTAGTTCAGTGGTATTCATCAATGTTTCATTGTCCTTGTATCAGGATTATTAAATGCATACATTTTCGTCAGCTTTTATAAAAGCGGGAGGGGGAGATAAGTGGGAACAGGAAAACGTATTTAACAATATAAAAATCTGAAGCCATAGTTTGCAAACTGGAATTGGAATCTGTTGCCTCCATAAAGTGACTATATGTCGATTTGCATCAAACTGTCTGCATGACTTACACGCGTTGTTTGTGTGTGCAATTGTTAGTTTGTCATTAGTGCTGCTTCAAATGTTCAAATGGCCGACTGCTGGCGCCTTTAGGGAGCAGTCGATAGGAGGCTTGCTTTCAAATACAGCTGCGACTCGCTGTTCAAATACAGCTGCGACTCGCTGTTCAAATACAGCTGCGACTCGCTGTTCAAATACAGCTGAGACTCGCTGTTCAAATACAGCTGCGACTCGCTGTTCAAATACAGCTGCGACTCGCTGTTCAAATACAGCTGCGACTCGCTGTTCAAATACAGCTGCGACTCGCTGTTCAAATACAGCTGCGACTCGCTGTTCAAATACAGCTGCGACTCGCTGTTCAAATACAGCTGCGACTCGCTGCAGCCACGGTCAGCGTTTGAAACCGGACGGTTCCTGTGGTTCACCCAGCCTCTATGAAATGGGTACCAGAGTGAACATTTGGGATAAATGGAGGAACGTCGCTGTAGCTGCAGAGTTACGTGCGGACGGCGATACAGAAAAACAGTTTCTTATTAGCTGTCCGTACAGGTGGTAGAGCACTTATGGTTTATAACCGTGTGCAATGACGCTGGTTCACATTTCCCGACTTTACCTTTACCTTTTAGAACCGACATGTTTCCGTAATTTTGAAATGGGCTACTGTCGCATCATAATGACAGTTTAAAGATGGCCGCCCCACTTGTAACATTTACCAAAGAGGAGCAGCGTTCTGTTACCCATTTATCAGTAAAGGGTTGGAACCTACAGAAATTCATCAGTGAATAAAGGTCCAGTATGGTGATGCACGTTTTGTATTCCAGAAAGTGTAGGAGTAGAGCAGAAAGTTCCAAAACGGTCTGACCTCTGTGCCAAACTGTGTAGGTTATTGTATTTCTTTCACACATTAAAGGTTTTTTTTTTTTTTTTAAGGCTGCTCGTATCAAGACAGTATTTCAGTGTAGTTCCAACCCGTGCGTAGATTCTTGGTTTTTACTGAGGGAAAATGGAGTCTTTAAAAAGGTCGCACTTAGCAAAATTGCTGCATTAAAAACTCAAAGCCTGGAGTGGGGACCGAAATACCAAGCCAATACGCGTTGAAGACAGACTTCAGAAAATGTCTACTTTTCTCTGTCGCTGACAGCATTGTCTGAAAGCTGATTTACGTAACCTTTTTGTTTCTCATTCAAAAGCCCGCTCAATTTTTTTTTTTATTTAAACAAATAGCATAGTTAGGAAGAGGACTTCCATCCTTGACAGTTTTTTTTTTAGAACTGTTTAATGCAAGGGGTGGCGAGTGGCTGACCGAGTTAGGCGTTTTGTGTGTGACCGGGTTCGAATCCTTGATAAATAATGGATGTTGTTATTATTTAACTATCAGGGGCAAAATGTTAAATCCAAACTCACACAGTTTGCGGCTCTGAACATTTGGTCCTCTCTTTTTGCTCAAGACTTCCTTTCATTGATTAGAAGATGGTATGTGTTTACGTGTGTGTTTATCTGTGTGTTTGTGTCTGTGCGTATTTCCCTGTGTCTGTGCTTGTGTCTGTATGTGTCTGCATATGTTGGTTTGGGTGTCTGTTTATGTCTGCGTATGTGTGTTTGTGTCTAGGTGTCTGCGTGTGTTTCTGTAAATGTGTGTGTCTCTGGATGTTTCTATGGGTGTGTCTGTGGTTATTTTTATAGGTGTGTTTGCGGATATTTCTATGGGTGTGTCTGTGGGTGTTTCTATGGGTGTGTCTGTGGATGTTTCTATGGATGTGTCTGTGGATGTTTCTATGGGTGTGTCTGTGGGTGTTTCCATGGGTGTGTCTGTGGATGTCTCTATAGTTGTGTTTGTGGATTTTTCTATGGATGTGTCTGTGGATGTTTCTATGGATGTGTCTGTGGATGTTTCTATGGGTGTGTCTGTGGGTGTTTCCATGGGTGTGTCTGTGGATGTCTCTATAGTTGTGTTTGTGGATGTTTCTATGGGTGTGTCTGTGGATGTTTCTATGGATGTGTCTGTGGATGTTTCTATGGGTGTGTCTGTGGGTGTTTCCATGGGTGTGTCTGTGGATGTCTCTATAGTTGTGTTTGAGGATGTTTCAATGGATGTGTCTGTGGATGTTTCTATGGATGTGACTGTGGGTGTTTCTATGGGTATTCTGTGGGTGTTTCTATGTGTGCGTCTGTAGGTGCTTCTATGGGTGTGTCTGTGGATGTTTCTATGGGTGTGTCTGTTGATGTTTCTATGGGTGTGCCTGTGGGTGTTTCTATGTGTGTGTTTGTGGGTGTGTTTGTGTGTGTCGGCGTGTATTCCTGTACATGTGTCTGTGTCTCTTTGTAGCCGTGTATGTGTGTCTGCCTATGTATGTGTGTCTGAGAGTCTGCATGTGTGTGTGTGTGTGTATCTCTGTGTGTCTGCGTGCGTGTAGATGTAAATGTGTATGTGGATGTTTTTCTGGGTGTGCCTATAGGTGTGTTTGTTTGTGTGTGTCGGCGTGTGGTCCTGTAAATGTGTCTGTGTGTCTGCCTATGCATGTCTGTCTGAGTTTCTGCATGTGTGTGTGTGTGTGTGTCTGTCTGCGTGTGTGTAG